AGCCATCATTGTTGTTTGGCGGGCCTGGGCTGGGGATTCGAACCCGCCACCTTAGGTGTATGTGGCTGGTGCCTTAGCTGCTTGAGCCACAGGCGCCAAGCCATCAAATCTATTTCTAATGACTGTTTTTAATGTCTTTCTCCACTAATTTGCCATTGATATCATATTAGAGTCTGGTTTTAACATTGATTTTTCTTCTGGTTATGGGCTATATTTTTCTTTACATGTCTGGTAATTTTATATTAGAGGCCAGATGTTAGGAACTGTACATTGTTGGGTGCTGAAAACTTTTTTCTTCCTTTGAATATTGGGAGTCTTGTTCTAGAACACAGTTAAGTTATGTAAAAATAATTTGAGTCTCTCAAGAGTTGCTTTTAAGCTTTATCAAGGTAGGAAGACTTCCGTCTGGGGCAAATTTTGCTCCACCGCTGAGTTGATACCCTTCTGAGATTGTTATCCAATGTCCTGTGTATTAAGAGATATACTCCCCAGCTGGAAGAACACGACTGTGGGGTTGTGATCTAAGTGATCTGAGAGGTGTCTTTCATCTATTCCTTTAAGGCATTTTCACGGACTTAGAAGTTTCCTCCCACGTATACACAAATTAGCATTCAGCCAACAACTCCAGGGTCTCCATTTTCTGGGTTTTCATATATCTCTCTCTCCTTCCTGGTGCTCTGTTTTGAAACATCAAAGATGTTTTTGACTCTCTGGATTTTGAACTCTGTCTTCCTAACTCATTGGAGAGACTGGGCTCTGGATTCCCCTCCCTGTGTTGCAGACTGGAAGCTATCTCCAGGCAGTGGACTGGGTGGGATACATGTAGAGGTCAGCTCATTACAAATGGAAATGTGGTGACTTTATGGTGGAGAAACCCGGCCGGCTCCAACTTGACTGAGTGATTAGGTTAGACTCCTTAGTGATGGGATGGATGGATGTCATGTGCTCATGATGGGCCACATTGAGAAAACCCAACGTCATGTCTGGGGCTTTTCTTCCAAGAAAGTACCACCTAAGGAAATGACTGTAAGGACCATTCTCCCAATCTGCTTGGACATGAGGAGCAGGGAAGGGCTGAGGAAGTCTTCCAGGTCATGAGAATGACTAAAGAGACAGATGACTAAATGCAATGTGTGTTCCTTGCTAAAGTCCTGGACCAGAAGGAAATTGAGACTGTAGGGACGGTGGAAGAATGTGAATGGTCTGTGGGTGGGACAGTGGTTTTGCCTCCATGCCAGTTCCCAACTTGGAGGGCTGTATAGTTGTCATTGTCTTGTAGGTGAGTGTCCTGGTTTTTGAGAAATATACACTAGGATATTTGAAGGATATTGGCCTCATGTCTGCAGTGTGTCCTTAAAGGTTTAGAAAAAGATCATGATAATGGCCTGTAGACACACAGAGTGAGAGAAGGGCAAACATGGGACAGTGTTAACAGGGAATCAGAGTGAGGAGGATGGGGGAGTTCTTTGTGCCATTCCAGCAACTTTCCTATAAATTGAGAGGAAAAAGAATCAGTAGGGCACAGGTTGTGGTGTGTAAGTCAAAGGCACGGAGTATTAGCTCATAAAATACCCTTTGGGCTGGACCTGTGTTATAATAAATAGTCACTGCTAATGTAAAGCCAGTCTTGGCATAAGAAATTAAAAGGTAAAGTACTTAGAGGTTGGCATTTTGACTCTCCGTTCCTAAGTACATTCAGCATTCATCATTGTTAGGGAAAGAACATCTGAGAGACCCTAACTGGGTGAGAAGCCCAGTGCCCCTGCCCTAGGTGACATGCCGACTGCTCAGTGTCCCTTGAGCTAGATGCCTAAGAGTCCTGGCTTGAAAACTAACAGGTCCGACCACTTTTTCCTGTCTGGTGACTGTCTCTGGCTCCTCCAGGGAACAGGATGGAGGACCTTTTATTTCTACTCAGAGGAAAAGGAGAGATGGGCTGCTGGCCAGGTGAGAGGCCCCAGAGGGCAGGGGACCAGGGCTTGGTGTCTGGACCCAGGCTGGGCCCCACAGGATCCTGGCCCTGCCACTGACTGGCCAAGGGATCTTGGGCTAGTCCCTTACCCTCGTTCTGCCTCATTCCCCTCCTGTGTAAAATGACTCCACAGAGTGGTTGGGAAGATGAAGCACTTAGTTCATGCTGAGTTACTGAGAATGGTGCCTGCCACATCATGGTGCCATCCTGGTTTCTGCAGTAATTATTCCCAGGACGCAGCACCACTGGTGAGGCCTCACCCTCTGAGGTAGGCCAGGCTGTGGGGTGGGAGGAGGGAGCGATATTTTGCCCCTGAGCCGAGGTGAACTGTTTCTTGGTAAAGAGGGGCATTTACACTGGGGAGAAGCTTGGATGAGGAGCCTTGGATCATGGTCTGTGCCGACACTGCCACCCACAGTTACCAAGGCCCTGGGGGCATCCCAGGTAGTGGAGAGATTGGACAAGAAGTCAGGAAAACCCAGTTCTGGTCGTATGCCACAGCCATGCTGTGTGATTGTCCCTTTGTGGGCCTTGCTTTACTCATTAGCAAAATGACACAGTTGCACTAGATCAGAGATTTGCAAACTTTGAAGCCCTCGGGGTCTCCCAGAGGTGCCTCAGGGTACTTGGGGGTGGGAGGGTAAGGAGGCTGAATAAGCAAGCTCTAGGGCCCCTGCACAGGCTCAGCCAGAGCTGCTGGTATCTCTGAACCGGGATTCTACGAACAGGTTCATTTGGAGAAATGATTCACTACTAAACAAATTTGATAATCATCAGACCAAGAGTATCCCTCTGAGGTACCGTACTCTAGTGATTCTTGGGTTTTCTCCCTTTCCCCAAGGAATAGTCATTCTTGACTCTCCCGGGCCCACGTGAGATGATCTGAAGGCTCCTGGTCTGGAGGCCTCACTCTGTTCCTGTTGTTAGCCTGGAGCTGCACAGTAGAAGGGCTTTGATGTTTACACACAAACATACACACACATCACATATCACATACATAGACGCACATCACCCCCCACACCACACATACTACACATGTACACACACCATGCATACACACCCCACATACATATACACAGTACCCATATACACGTACACCACATTTTCATGACACACACTTTGGATGTGTTTTGCCCTCAGAAAACTATCAACAAATGAGTCCCTAAGGTTCTGTGCGGGACCCGGGCTGCACATCGGAACCGCCTGGGAACCTTTTACACCTACAGCTGTCTGGATCTCACCCTAGTCTCCTTGTATTAGTCTTCTATTATTGCATAACCAATTGCTCAAAATTGAGCAGCTTAAAACAACAAACATATATTATCACACACACTTTCCGGAAGCAGCATAGCTGGTGGCTCTGGCTCAGCGTCTCTCTGGGGGTTGCAGTCCAGCTGGTGGTCCAGCATGCAGCCGCCATCAGACATGTGCCTGGGCTGGAGGACCCCCTCCTCTAGTGGCTCCCTCACATGGCTGAGGGCAGGAGGCCTCACATCCTTGTCATGAGGGCCTCCCTATAAACTGCTTATGTGCTCCCAAAACAAGTGCTATGAGACCGAGAGAGAATGAACCAACACAGAAGTCACAGGCTTTCTCAGCCCAATCGCAGAGACATAGCATTACTCTGCCAT